GATTAATAATATAAAAATACAATTAAAATACCAATTTTTTAATGGTAAATAAATAGAGACACAATACTTATTAAATCAACTATATTTTATTATTAATATTTGTATTTTATAATACCAACAACATAAACAACTATTAAATTGTGGTTTTAATTTAACATTTACTCGATAAATATTTCACTAAAAAATAAAATATTTCTCATTGGTTATTGTTATTTATTATCTTGTCATTTTTTGCTATATTATAAATAAATATAATTGTCAGGCTTATTTTTGTAAATTATTTTTAATCGTAATTGATTTTTAAACTTGTTTTAGATAATGTGAATATTAAATGTATTTAACATGATTAAGTATTAAACAATTTTTTATTTAAAATACTATTAATTTGTTTTTTACCACTTGGCTAAAATAAAAATTAAATTGATTGTTATTGTTCTTTTTTATTTTTTGATAACAAGTACAGAGCCTAAAATGAGTGGGCAACCTTTAAAGTGAGTCCCTGATTTTATTAAAACTCCCCAATGATTAGGACCATTTCCCGAGCAAAATTCAAATCATAATTTAAGTATTTTTAGAAAAAAATTATTTGGCCAATCAAAAAGATTTTTGAGAAAAAAACAAAATCTTAAAAAAATGGGTGAATTTAGAAAATCTTAAAAAAAAGGGAGGAAATAGAAAATCTTAAAAATAAATGATGTTAAAAAATCAAGTTCCAATTCAACCAAATGGTTTTGAATATGTATATAGAGTAATCGAATCAATCGAAAAATGCTGCAACAACAACATTGAAAATAAGCTGTTTAATCACGATGGATTCTTAAACATATGGATTCCAAAAATTATGAAAAAACTTAATTTTAATTGTTTTTTTCTTGAATAATTTTTATAATTAAATTTTACTAAAATCAAAAACTATTTATTATAAACTGGAATTAGAAAAAAACAAATCATGAAACAGAAAAAAGGAAACATTACTGCTAGGTTTGTTTTGTTTTGTCGATTAAAAACCGTTTACTCACTTTTTAGAAAAGCCAAAGAAGAAAAGCTAAAGAAAAATAGCTATCGATTTTTTTTGAACTTAAAATATTAATTAGATTAAATGTATAATTGAAATTTTTACAAAGTGTTATTTAAAATTTTTGTGTTATTAAAAACAATATTAAATTTTGTGTTTTATAAAACAAAAAACAATAACATTTTTTTCCA